AATACATTCATCAAGATCTAAAAAGTTTCAGGCTCCCCTGCGAGTGTTTGTCTTGAGCTGTAGCGCTGTTGCTATTATGATGATAGCTGACCTAAAAATCTAATACTGTACCTGCGGCTTTGACACACCTACCACCCACTACTGTTCAGCAGCTCCTCATTTGGCCATCTTAAGGTGGAAGAGAGGACCTCCATCTTGAGATTTCACTGATACCTGATTTATCAATTGTATTTCATACTGATCTTTGTGTTTGTTACCCAAGTCCTTATCCTCAGCTGGAAAGACAATTGTGGACTTATGTAAAATAATTTAATTTATAAACACATTCATAACAAATAATAATGCATTCATTATAAACATGGCTATTAACATTTACCAAAAAGCATAACACCATGTGTACTATGCATTATGAATGCTTTATGAAGCTCTCATCTATAATGCACTATAGATACCTTTATAATGCATTATAATGGTCAGGATAAGCATTGAGGATGTACTCTAAAAACCAATAGCATAAAACATGATTTTTTTTCACATGTTTCTTTATTGAATTATTTTGTTATAAAAGGAACAACACAAAACAAGGCGGCGTATATGAAATATAAAATTAGTTAACAGAGATATCTTGGTATGTCCTAACAGGTATCATATGTATGTGTCATTGTTCAATTAGATAAAATGGTAGTTCGATAGCTCTGATACCCCTGATATAATGCAGTTTTTATTACTTTTTCATCTGGTGTAATATATAAGCCACATTGAAAAGAGTTTACATAATTTATTGCTCAAATGCCAGACGTTGACTTTTTTACCATTAACAATTTCCAATCTAGACTTCAAGTAAGTTCTCCCTGGAACAACAAGGGGATCTAGGTTCCTGTGCTATGAGTGAAATAAAAAGAAAATGCACATGATAATTCAGCTAGATGGCACACTTCACACAAAGGGAATAACATTTAACCTACCAGCAATCTAATGGGGAGTGGCAGAGACAAACTAACAACAGGGGGTGTATGAAACAAGACATAACTCTCTGATGGCTTTGGTGTGGAAATCCAAGTCCCTCAACAGAATGTTCTAGAGCAACTCTTGCATTGGAACCGTGGTGTTGGAAGGAGTTTGATGTTGGAGGGGACCGAACTTGCACCGGAAGGGGGTGGGGTGTTTAGGGTGTAGTTCCACAACTAAGCACAACTTAACAAAATAAAAACAAAATAACAAACAAACAAACAAAAATAACTGATCCATATGAGAAAATTACTTCATGAGATTTTCTTCCATTATTATTCAGTGAACCATAAATTCTTATTGTCGGTGGATTTTATTATTTGAATAAAAGCAAGTAAAATATGTAATAAGATATGCTTCATTTTATTTATTAATTTTAACGTAATATGATTGAAGCATCTTCACTTTCACTAGCACTCCTTATGATTTCACCCTTCAGGGTTTAATCAAAGCGTGCCTAAAATAAGTTCCTTTGACCCTATAAATAGCAATGCCAGGACTAATTTAAGATTCTATTAAAAATTTTAAAGTAATACAATATATTTTTTTTTTCCTAATGTCACTTTATAAATTTCTGGTAAAAGATTACAAATATTTACACTACAGATTACATCTACTGAGAGTTAATTTTAACAAATTGGATCAAGTAAAAACCCCTCGACAGAATAAAATATTTTTAAAATATCATTTTTTGTGTGATATGTATCAAACATGCATGGTTATAAACTAAGGGCAACCAGGGTCAGAAATTCAGCTGAGCTTCTCTTTGATTAGGCAAAAGCAAAACTCATAGCAATTTGCTGAAGGTAACATCAAAACAAACTCACAAAAGGCTACGAGGCCAAGTGAAACTGGAACTAAATGCTAGCAGGTGTCACATGATAAGTATGTCCACTTCAGCAAAAAGGAAACATTGCCTTTGTTCTTACAACAAAGTTAAAACTGAGATTATATTGCATATTTGTAAAAAAACAAACAAACAGGTGACCATGGGAGGGACTAGGGTTTGAAATTTTGGTTAATAAATGTGATTATGCAGCAAATAATTAGATTCTCTGATATCTTCATATTTTGAACTTGCCCTGATACTTAAATTATTCAGAGTAAAAATCATTAGGACAGGCCGCTTTTTGGGATGCAGTGAAAGGCAAAGCTTGAATGTGTTAAGCAGGGAATCAGTCAGATACTGAACAAGATGAATGAGGTGTGTCCGAGAGAGCTGGAAGTGCTGACTGCAGAGAATATGTCACACATGTCCGTTACTATAACTGGATGAATTTATCATAGTCAGGTGTTCATTACTTTGCTTGTCAGTAACGCAATTCTGCTTTGTCTTTAAATACCTGATCTCACCAGTTCAGCATCTGATTCATGCACTGGTCTCTCCCCAAATAATTTACAGCTCCAGTGCTTCTCTTCACAAAGAAATAATGTAGAAGTAAGTGAAATGCTGTTTTATGTTGTTTCATACTCTCACCCTGTCCCCAGTTCAAGTAAAATGAAGCATTAATAGGTGGACTAGAGAACAATTTACACACACTGTGGAATGTTTTGATAAGCTGAGAGTAATACAGATTGATTTTGTTTACTGCAGTAGAAGAAAAGGTTTTAAACAGTATTTATATCTACTAATTGCAGAAATAGACACTTATAGTGCTTTTGATATAGGGTGCACATTAATACTCTTGAAAACCCAGGTCAGGGGTGAAAGACCCAGATCTGGAAGGTGACACATGGAACTCCTTGATTTCTTCAGGTGATCCACTAGCTTTAAGGTTCCATTGGAACAGCCCCTGCTTAAGTTCAGTCTACCACCCCCATGTGGTCTCATTAATTTCACCCTTGTCCCGTAGTTTTACTTTTATGCTTTGTAAACATTGTGACCTTTATATGTCATTGTCAGTGATTCAGTGATAAAGTTTTTTTTGCACCTTAGCTCGGCTCAGTTTTACTTCCTCCAGAGGATCACTTCCTACTTTTTTCAAAAAAGTAGGAAGTACTTTTTTTACAAAAAAGTAGTAGTACTTTTTTACAAACGGGACGTCACTTACGAAGGGGTGTGATGATCTGAATCATCATGCTGCCATGATGGCTACTTTTAGTTCTTAAGTCGATGCACATCCACATTATAGATAGTTATCATGCAAGCCTTGGCATTGAAGCCTGTAGGATAGTTCTGGTACTGAGACAGACCAACCTGATTGTATCTGTAAAGCAAGCAGCCATAAAACTGTCCCAGAGAAGCCAAATTGTGTGACCCTGCTGCTCATTGCCACCTACTGTGCATCCCTAAAGACACTACGTCAGGTAAGAGATGAATGAACAATGCAGCTGGCTGGGCGAGCCGGCCCATGAGCCTTCGTCGTTTAGGCTAAGTGTAGAGCAAACCAACATTGTGCCGATTAAATACAACCAGATATTTCCACTTTTTGTTTTCAAACTTTTATTTTTTGTTTATTTTTTTTACACAAGATACACACTGTACATCTCACTTTTCCCAATATGTTACATTAATAGTACAAAAACAAATTGTGGAATTTTAATAAATACATATATTAACATAAAAGATTAATGATTATCCATTGCAAGTGGAATATAGAATAGTTTGTAATGATTAAGAGAAATTAAAGATTACACACTAACACACAAACCTAGGTTTACACATAAAGACTACAACAGGAGTGAGTATAATCTTTTTTGATTCTTAATCACTATAAAATATCCTTTATAAGGACACATTCTGAAATTTCTTAATTAAATATATTTTCCTCTTTGTATTTCTGTAATAAAAACCGACCCTGTGTTTTCTCAGTAAAATTTTACTTTTAAATACATGATAAATATAAAATTACTATGTGTGCCAACCATTTAAATACAAACATTTTTTATATTACATATTCACAAAGGACACATACTATAGAAAAAGAATAGACCTATGCTGAAATCACTACATCAGGTGATGATGGATATGCCGTTTTTAAAACTGAATGATGATAATGTTTCTGAAGAAAACATGATACAAAGGTGATGCCCAACAGTGAAACTAACAGGCACAAAGCAATCCCTTCAGAAGTGTGTTCTTATGACAACCATCACAACATATTTTTAAAAAACTGACAAACACCACTAAACAATGGGCAAGTTATGCGTTGTGAATTTAAAATGTACAAATTGCACATTTACAACTTTACATATTAGATGCTGCTGCAAACAAGATTGTTTAATTATGTTTTTTTTTTTTAAATAGTTCTTTGGAAAATGTAATTTTATAACTCAAGAAGAGAATTTCCTATGGATTCACAGTTGTTCCGATGATATGTCACATATGGCTCAGTGGGTTAAGCGTCTGTGCCTATGACTTGCAGGTTGCGGGTTTGAGCCCGGCTTTGGCAGGATAGCCACATCTATGGGCCCTTGAGCGAGGCTCTTAAAGCCCAGCGTCATGGGTGCTGCTACAGGTGGCTGCTCAGCCTACATATGTGTCATGGAGAGCAAGATGTGGTAGGTGAAAAGGTTATTTCCCCATGAAAATCAATAAAATGTTACTATTATTACTACATAACAATACTGATGCACATATGCAACACGTGGGTTTGCTTAAATGGAATCATTGTAGAAGGTTCTTACTGTAGCTGTGTATTTTGTTCTTCATATACTCCCCAGGTAATCGAAAGGCTCATTATAGCACTGGAGGAATCAACTCAATTGACAATCTTCCATGATATGAGTGTGAAATGTGCACCTGAATCAATCCAGTAAATAACTGGTCCAGCTTATTTTCTGGCAGCTGCCTCATGTATATAGGAAAAAGGAAACATATCTCTTAATTAAAATCTTGAAGGTCATGCAAAAGTACCAAGTACCAGGACTTAGAGGCAAAGAATATAAGAAATGACTCATCATCATCAGCCAATAACAGTCAATCAACAACTTGATGGAATTTTCTCACAAAACTGGTGATCTTATTCCAAGGACACAAGGGCCATTAAATATGAAGTTTTAATACCCTTCCCCTTTATCTCAATGCTTCACATTTACAGGCATAATTTTCCAGGGTAAAAAACCAATTCAGGCATGTGTCATGTTGTGGCAATGTAATAAGGCTGTGGGCATTCTGGAAAGGCAAGAGAAATTAATGGATGTCAGGACATTTTGGAGACTAATGCTGAAATTTGCTGATAATACAAAAGCAAACACCTGACCACTGAACATAGGTGTCACTGATCAGCTTCATCAACAATGATGCAGAAGATTACACAAAAACTAACAATTTTTAATGTGCAATTAGGAATACTTGGTGAACTCCATGATGTGTGAATTAAACGTCTATATGAGTTGTGTTAGCTGGATATGAAGATTTCCTTCCTATTTTCCTGTGTTCAGTGAGAATCGGTGCTCACTTCTGTATATATATATATATATATATATATATATATATATATATATATATATATATATATATATATATGCAAACCGAACAGTAATTTTACAACTATTCATCTCACCTGAACAATAGAAAAATGGAAAATAAAGTGTTTACAATGTGTATTGTATACTTTTTTTTGTGCCACTACACTACAAATCCAAAAACTGGAACTGACACTATGTTATCTTTGGACATCACATTAACAAATAAGTCACATTTTGGTTAGATAATATCCAGATCCACCCAAACGGGAAAGCTCATGACACCAATATTGATTTTTCATCATTTCTCCACAGTAAGATCACCAATGTATGCATGTATTCCAGTTTTCAGTCCAATTAGATCAATGGCACAGCAGATGAGAAAGAACTTATGTGCTTAGTTCTTAGCCATTTTAGAAAGAGTTGCATCACAACAGTAAAACAATTGCATCTACACGTTGTGTATTGTATATCCCATTTGTCTGGACAGTGATCCATCTGATTTTCTTCATCTGTAATGGTATTTGCCTGGGAATATATACCTGTATGCACATCAAAATGTGTGATTTACTATTCAAACACTGCCTGTGACTTGGAGCATATTTTGACGATCATATGTAACCTTCCAAAATATGCATTTATTAAGCCACTGGGAACATTTTGTTTAATAATAAAAAGAATGTGTATTTATGGGTAATTAAACCAAATAGTTTTTCTTCAGTTATTTCTTGGTAAGAAATGCATCAGGTTTCTAAGAATTGTGTATATGTTCTGCCTACATGGTGTGCAAGGTAAAATATCATTTATAATGTTTGATCTGAAAGTTATCTAGAAAGCCATAATACCACGCTGAAAAAAGCCTTGGTGGCTTATATGTACTTATATGGTGCAAATATCTCCAGATTTCATGTGTCCCACTGGATGTTACCTATATAGCAAAGGCGCCATGGAGTATCATGGTGGTGGAATGCATGACAACGAGTGATGCAGCACATAGAAACGGAGCCGCGGTCCATCGGCTTCCCCACCAGGACAGCAGCAAGGTGACTGTTTTCTGTGCGGCTGACCGATGAATTGTGGAGAAAAACCTGAGCAAGACTCTTGTGACCAGCCACAATTGACAGCTGAGTTGTCCTTCTGACAATAAATTGCATGTATAGATTCAGTGTGGCTTTGAAGATAAACATAAACATAATCTCCATTATGAGTAAAATACAGGGGTAATATTTTCACGAATAAAACACGTTTCCAGTTTAGGCCTCAATTAGGCTGCCTATTAGGAAATGTTGGCATACATTGGGCTCATCTGTTTTCTGTTTACTACAGAACCCTTTTCATTCTTAGTAACCTTATTTCTTTTCTTATGTTATGTTTGGTAATGACTTGTATATTCACCATCAGGGAATTGTAAAAGCTAGGAGGTCATTTCTAAGGACATTATGTGAACAGTTGTATTTGGGGTTTATTTTTTTTTCTTGATCTTAGCTTTATTTCTTGATACTTTTTCTACAGATCGGTGCAGCAGGGTTTCCTGCACTGGCGTTTGCGTCTCTGCACTTGAGTTCTGCCTGTACCCTGTTCCCAGCATGCGTGTTCCCTGGTGAGTGGGCCGGAGGGACTGGGACACTCCGTCATCAGACCCCTGTTGACTGCTTGATGCTGTGGAAGCTGACCCGGGTGGGGGAGGTGGGGATGGACATGGCTCTTGCCACTCTGGCACGGATGGAGTGCTTGTCCTGCCACCGGTGCCACCGTTTCCGGACCGCGGAACGTACCTGTGTAACATACAGAGATTTGGCCCTGTGACTCACATTGTTTCCATGCCCATTTGAGACATATGCTTCCAGTAACAACAACAACAGCAATAATAATAATTGGTTTAGGGTTCTCAACATTTCCTCACATACCTGGTGAATTAATGTGTCACAATGACTGCAGGTTTTTTTTGTTTTTTTTTTTCAAACCTGAGCACACAAAGCTTAATTAAATTTTTACTGTGGCTGGAAATTGAACATAATGTCATTACTACTTTAGTTACTTGCTTAACTTGCCGCTTCAAAGTATGACATGGAAAATTAACAAGTGACTGATCTGAAGTGGAAAAAAAACATGGTACGGCATATTATAAACTCTGCTAATAAGCATCTTCTAAAACCTTGGAAGCCATCTGGGTGATAAGACATAATCCTGATAACTGAACTACATGTTAAACCAATCATGGTGTGCAGTATCTGCTAGGTTTCATTGTCATGAGAAATGCATGGGCAGGGATGCCACTAGCGATTAAGGGTCCCATAAATGCATATAATACTGGGCTCCCAACCCAGACCAATCCAATTATATTCCAGATATTTTAGGGCCCCTGTCACCCAGAATCAGGCAAATCTCAATGGCACGACAACGCTGAAGAAATGTGGATGAAACATCTATAAACATCTATCAATAAAGGATTAAGTCAGTTTCTAGAAAATCCACCTAATCGGCTCATTAAAAACAAACCTCTGCATTATAGGAAGTGACAGTGGAGAGCCCTCCAGTTTCTCAATATGAGATGTCAAAGTCACATTTTTCATTAAACTAGGGAATGTTGGGTACTAATTAATGCTGCTAAGAGGAGAGGTCTTGCATGCTGTTGTACCAACCAGCTACAGACCTACTAGGCATTTAAAACCATAGCACTATAAGTTAACTGGAATTCTAGTTAAAAGATGCCTACTTGGAATAAACAATGTGACTTTAATATCATCAAAGCAGCACATTTAAGTTGCACACTTTAAACAACAGGCTTGCGTTTAAAAGCAAGTTTCAAAGCCAGAAAGAGCAATATGGCAACACAATGGCTCAGCTATGAAAGCCACTCAGGTTTTCAAATGAAAGATTTTCTTAATTCTTTCAAGTAAGTGTCTTTCATCTGGAAAATAGGAGACTACTAAAAATCTATATAAAATATTAATATCTCCATTATTGAAACTATAACATGACTCAGTTTTCTGCAAGTTCTATACTTCTATCTTGGTAAAAGTTACTGCTGACCAAATAAATAATGCAATAACTTATAATATCAGTTAGCATTAAATATAAATGCAACATCCCCTTATTTCCAAATGAGGAACTGTAGGGCTTAGAACATCACAAAGAATGTGGAAGCTGAGATGATTTAAGGAGGCTGCACCCATTTGCACCTGAATTGCTAATAAGTCAGCTGTCTGAGTCAGCATTATGCAGCTTAGGGGCTTCCTAACTGCATTATCCAGATCATCACTCTCACAGATGCCAGCATATGCAAAAAGTTGAACAGGGTAGGTCACAGGGCTTGCTTTGAGATGCTTAATGGATGTTTACTTATTTAAAGGGGAAAAGCAAATGCCAGTTTTAAAAAGCATTGCTCCTCATGATGCAAACACCATAAAATAAAACTCTTTATGTGGTGTAATGAGGTTTACTGACAAAGTTCACAAGCTAAGACTCCGCTCCCTACATCTAAGGGTGCTAGGTATGGGCTTGCATTTTAACCAAATATTAGATCTGGCAAAATAAAAACTGACCTTAACAAACATTTGAATTACAAAGCATCAGTTACACTAAGTGATACACCCACTAACATCCTACTACATCTGCTTTCGGGCTTTTCTCAATCAGTGCGTATTATTTACTATGGACCTTGTGTGTCTATGTCTATCTCCACATAAGATTGTATTTAGTGACAATGATATATTATTTCTTTGGCCATGGACCTCATATGACTTTGAAATAAGGTCTTGTCATGAGCATGACCTGTCTGTGCATACTTTGTGTGAAGATAAACAGATCATTCTATTTGTCAATCTATCTAGGTTGATAATTAATTAAGAGGGAGTCTGTCCGTATCCTAGATACCGATTGGTCTGTAGCTAGGGGTTTGGGCATAGGTATAGTTGGGAGTGTTCATAAATATACACACATTTATATATATAGGGAAAGAAATCGTTAAAAACTATTCTACGAGTAAAAATGTGCGTACGCATGGTTCATGCTCAAAATTGTTTGTACACAAAGTTGATAAATGAGATCCCTGGTTCCAATAAACCTCTGTTAATTAGTAGTCCTGCCTGTTACTTTGTGTATCCTATATATCTGTGAAAATGGATTGGTGTGGAATGGATGTGAAGCATCTTCACTGTAGGATTAACAAGATTGCATGGGACGGGATCTAGCCGAGAGGACTTGGACCTGCTTACCTCGCTATTCAAGAAGCAATAAAACACTGACACAAAGAAGCCCTTAACAGCAGGAGAAAAGAAAAAAGAAAATTAAGCTTAACAAATCCGTAGGCATGGATTTACATTAACATGCTAAAATGTGGATGGAGATTTGTATTATAAACACCAAAGACATGTTGGGTATTACGTATTCATTTCATTACATGTTCATTTCATTAATATACTCCAAAGATTGTTATTCACACATGCACAGGCTTACTGACTCTACCTGTTAATTGCATTATTATACTTTCTTACGTAAAGTACCTTACTGAAGGTACAAGTGCCTCCCATGACTAGAGGCCCCCAACTCTAGCTTATAAACCCATGTCCTTAATCGCCATGATGTTATGCATTTTGTTTCCAACAAAATCACTGAAAATGCCAGCAATCAAGAGCAATTTCAAGATAATTCCCATACCAATGAACCTGGCTGATAGAGAATTTTGGTTTAAATTTTGAATTTTAGTATACCTGTATGTCCACTTTACATCCAAACTCAAGAATATGTCTTAAGATCCAAAAATTCAACAAATGACTTTGGTTTTGTCTGATTTATTTCGGTTGCTTTAGATTGCTAATTTTTCATAGTTTTATTTTTTTTACATAACCAGCACCACATTCATATTTATTATATTTCATTACCAAGGGGGCTGGACTAAGAATTTGATTTTAAGAAGAAGCTATGTTTTTGTAACTCTAATTAATTTCATAATTAAGTTCATAAGTTCAGAAAAAGTAACCTACTTGAAATGACTCCAAAAATGAGTTGAAATATATAAATACAATCTGTGATATTTCATCTTCTCCAGGGTTGACGAAGAACAACATGTATGTGATTCCAAGCAGAGGAAGGAGAACCAGAGTAGCTTTCACAGCTTTTCTGAAGAAAGTCAGAGTTGGAAAACTCAGCTTACATCCATTAGTGGTTAGTTTATGAGCTATAATGTACGGAAAATGTTGCATTCATTAAAGTTGACTAATCGACAAATTCAACACAAGAAAGTAATGTGATAAATTAACCTTGATTAATAATAAAAACATAGTTTCTGTGAACACTGGGCACACAAGGCTTGGTCTTTCCTAGGGTCCTCAGCAAACTAAACTGATGAAGATGCTAATCCAAAACAATTTTTTAGGAATTACCTTTTTATGCAAAGAAGGCACCTACATGCTGCCATAAAATAGGGGGAACCAATTTACCTGTACTGTATGGTTTCTGACGTGGTGGAAGCTCTGAGCTTTGTCATGAGAATCCGAACAATGTTAAACAGAAAAATGAAATTGATCTGAAATGAAACAAAAAATGAACCATATATAAGCATTATGGCAATAATGTTATAAAAACTCTCAGTCACTCAGTCTATGCTTCAGAGCTTATCATAAAACAACATCTTGGTAAATTCTACATTTTATGCAATATAAAATGCACATAATAAAATCACTAATGATGTCATTATGCAACTTAGATTTAAATATCCAGGTTGATCTTTGGCATTCCTGTGCATTTCATCTGAACAAAGGTTGTACTTTCTTTGCACATGGTTGCAGTGAAAACACCAAATGAAAAAAGCAAACAAACTCACTCTGGTATTAGTAAAATATATGCAGTAATAAAGTCTCTAAGGTGGAAAAACACATTAAACAAACATGTGCACTTACCAGCAGAACTAGAATCATTGGGCCCTGGTAGATGTAGTCTGTGTATACACCTGCCCGCTTCCCAAACCAGCATCTACGATTGTAAACAACAGCAGTCAATTATAATCATTTAGTAGGCTATTTTTTTAATTCTCAAACTTATCATAAAAGCTTAGACTCTGGGCTAATTCACTCTAATAACTAATGAAAAGCATCTTTCCAACTTGATGCTTGTAACCCAAATGGAATGCAAAATGAAAATGAAAATAAAAAAAAACAACTTTATTTTATGCACTCATAACAGACAATTGTAAATTCAAACTCACTTTTCATTGTCGTAGTACAGCTTACCAATTGCCCATGCAACAATGATCGGGAATGGAATGCCTTTAAAAAAGGAAAAGAAAGAAAAGCCATAAATTCATATTTTTGCCGCTAAATATCAGAAAAAAATATTTATTATAATGCTCAGTGTCACCACCTATAGTGTTTCCCTCACCCTTTTATTCAAAGGAACATTATCGCTCTGTCAAGCTGTCAAAATTCGCCAATGAATCTGCCTTATGTATTATTTATAAATGGCACCAAGCAAATCTGAGTTTTTGTGTCTTGCAGATATGGATAAAAATAATTCTCCTGATCCAAAGGCATTCTAATGCTCAAGTAAATGAACTGATTAATATTCATTCCACAGAGGGCCTACAACTCTTCTTTGGGTCAATAAATGGCCAAAATACATAATTAACATGTATTTCTCCTGCAGTTATCACAACAACAGAATTGAGAGACTGCAGTTTGACTACAGAGAAGTCTGACTTGCAAGTCCATGCTCTTTTTAATATGTTCAGGATGCCTGCGATACCCCCCACTCACACCAGCCGATGCAGATGAACATCCACTTCCTTAGCTTGTCTGTGGAGTATGTCAGGACAATGGCTGTGTGCAAGTAGCAGCCCTCGCCAAACATCCAGAAGAAGTTCGTGACATGGAAATAATTATATGCAGCTGTGACCAGGCGACACCAAATCTTAGGGGCGAGAGGGAAGAACATACAGAAATTTATAATGAACAGGGAGCACACACGGATAACCCTAAGCCTAACCCTAAGCCTAACCCTAAACTGGCAGCAGACAGGATGGAGCTCTAGAATGTAGAAATGGTTGCTTCTTCTCCCAGGATGGTCCCTGCTGATTTGTTGCTAAGGTATCTGCATAGCCTCAGCAAATATCAAAAACCACAAATGCATAAAAATCTAAGCAGTAATAATAATAAATCACCTGGATATCAAAATGAGATAATTAAGGGGATTACCATAATTAGAAGGATTAGTGCTACTTTCTGTAGAAGACCACGACAAAAATGAATGTGAGTTGCAGGTCTACTAAATGCTTTAATCGGTTATAGCACATCTGCCTTGTGGAACAAAAATGTGTAGAAATAGACTGCTTTCACCATGTTTCATTGCAGTTTGTACTCATAGTCTGTACCATAGAGTTCAGCTATGCTGAAGCCTCTGCTTCCAGCTCTTTATCACTTTAAGGACTATGCTGAAGTCTATCTAATGGCTTAGAACTGTAGCTAACTACCTCGATATTGAGTTATGGGGAACTAAGGAGGCAATAAATGCCATACTAGATCCCACAGCAGCACTTACCATGAAATGCTTCCAGGTTTGTGGCATCTCAAACCTATTGCCAGTATATTTTCTGTTTTTTCTCCTGCTTTACAAAACATCGTGCTATTTTTGGGTTCGTAGGTTAGGGGCTGGAATGGCACACCTCTTACCAGGCGGACTGTACATTCATAGAATGTCAGAAACAAGAGCATTCATTTATCCAGCTTTTATTTCTGAAGAACATCTGCTTCCTGTCATGCAGTATTTCACATGGCAGCAGCCCAAAAGAGGACGGCGTGTTCTTCTTGCGAGGAAGCTATTTATCAATCAGCAGGCAGGAGATGTTTGAGGGGCTATACTACCCTTTAATGATGTGTTTGGGATGCACATCTCTGCAGGGTGTCACAGAGACTGGCTCCTACTGATGGTGTGAAAAAGCAATCAGAAGAGGATCTAGTTCCTCTATTTCAATTTGACAGTGGCTGAAATACAATTAAAATGTGTACTTTAATTAACTTTAAGCTGTTGTTTTAAACTTGAACAAAATAATCTATCCAACAGATGTTTGTTTGACATATTTGCCTCTTCACAGATGTTTCTTTGTACTGTTTATATAACTGATCCTTCATTCTTTTACTTTCTTGATTTTCATCTCATGTAATGAGATGGTGATGTGGCTCAGTGGGTTGCCTTCACACCTCTGGGGTTAGAGATCATGTTTGCATGTGGGCTTCCTCCCACAGTCCAGAAACATGTGGGTAGCTGAGCTGATCCCTGCCAACTGCTCCCTGCAAAGGTTTATTGCCTAAATTGAAGTGACAAGTGTCTTGTACTTTCTGAGACAGGCTCCCAGCTCATCACAAGATGATCAAGATAAGTGGTTTGACTCTGGGTGGTAATTTATTATTATTATTATAAATATTATTATTATCATCATTATTATTATTATTTCACACTCAAAAAACAATGCCTTTTGATCACCTCATCCTTTTCATATTAAAAACCTTGGGTAACTTCAATCACTACCTTCCCTATATGTAGAGACTAAGCTTTCCCGTTTTCATGGATGGATGGTACATCTCACTGTTAAAGAAGAAAGTCATTATCCTGTGTTTGTAAGAACATCTGAAAGACACTGGGAGGCGAGTCATGAGCAAACTCACCACATTGCTCTGGTGCACTTCTGGGTTCATGGTCAGCTGCACCACAAACCAGGTGGCGTTTCGCAGGATGAAGGCGGTAATCAGGTTCCAGTGAATAATGTTCCTTAGGCATCGGATGCTCCTGTCATGGGACAGAGAACGAGCAAGGTGGGTATTGATCCAGGAGGGAGATTCATTGGATGCTGACAACAAATGACAATATTTGTGTTTGGAGCTTGACCCAGAATGGGAATAGGTCACTGCAATATTTTGAAGCATAGAAACCAATTTGCTGCATTTCCATTTTTCTGATGGAAATTATACTCCATTGATTTGATTTTACTGTGTCCACCCTGGGATACTGGTCCAACAGAGGGCAAAGTTTAATTTTTATGTATGTATATATGTATATATATATATTCCATCCATCCATCATTTGTGTCTTAGTTTTAATTAAAGCATTACACAACCCACAGTTGTTTTCCGAAAAGAAAACTATTGTTTGAAAATGATAGTTCTGTGCTGATATATTAGCAGGATTCACAGTTCTGTGAATAAATGGTAATGGTTTAGTGCACATAGGTTGGTAAGAACAGTGTGGGTAATCAACCTAAATGAAGTCAACACAGACAATATCCTTTACATTTTAGTCAACACGAATAAGAAAATATTACATAGTTCTTGGTAATAACACCTACACTCCTTGCATATGATCATTTTATCACAATGTCCTCAAGAGGTTGATGATGCTAATTTGCTTATGTGTTTCTAGGTTTTTGAACACACAATGATCAGCAATAAATACCTATTTTTATCATGGATTGCGGGTTATCTTTGAGGACACATAATTGATTCAGTGATTAATATGATTTAGACTAGATCTTCCTTGGTAGCAAGGGCTTGTGGGACTGTGTCTGTCAAGAGTTGCCTGTAATGAGCAATGTCATATCTAAAGATGTTCCTGGTTGCTGGAGCACAAACAAAAAGAAATGGTGAAAGAGCCAGTTTTCCCTACACAATGATGGAGATCTCTGAGTTTTATGAGTTTTTAAAATTTTATTTTGTGTGACTGAAGAGACCTGGGTGTCCCTAGAGCTGACACACATATTTTTAAAAAAGCTTAATATATTGTAATTTATTGCATAGTGATGCAAAGCAATGATTAAGAGAAGATTCCAAATAACATACACTACCGTTCAAAAGTTTGGAGTCACTTAGAAATTTCCTTGTTTTCCATGAAAGCATACATGAAATGAGTTTGAATAGGAAATATAGCTAAATAAATAGGAAATAGCCATTGACAAAGTTAGAAATAATAATTTTTAAATTAAAATAATAATGGTGTTCTTCAAACTTTTACTTTTTACGTACCATTCGGTCAAACCGCTCCCAGTTCAATAGAGTTGAGATCCAGTGACTGTGCTGGTCACTCCATTGTACACAGAATACCAGCTGACTGCTCCTTCCCTAATTATTTCTTGCATAGTTTGGAGCTGTGTTTGTGTCATTGTCCTGTTGTAGGATGAAATTGGCTCCAATTAAGCGCCGTCCACAGGGTATGGCATGGCGTTGCAAAATGTGATGAACTTCCTTCTTCGAGATCAGTTTTACCTGTACAAATCTCCCACTTTATCATCACCAAAGCAGCCCCAGACCATCTCATTGTCTTCACCTCTAGCATCTTTTCATTTGATCTGCGTCTCATAAATATTCTTCTGTACACGTCAAACTTAGACTCATCTATCCATAAGCACTTTTTTCCAATCTTCCTCTGTCCAGTGTCTCTGTTCATTAGCCCATCTCAGTCTTTTCTTTTTATTGGCCATTCTGAGATACAGCTTTTTCTCTGCAATTCTGCCTAGAAGGCCAGCATCCCAGAGTTGCCTCTTCACTGTTGACATTGAGACGAGTCTTTTGTGGGTACTACTTAATTAAGCTGGCAGTTGAAGACCTATGAGGCATCTGTTTCTCAAACTACACACTCTAATATATTTATCCTCTCCCTCACTTGTGTACCGGAGCCTCCCTCTCCTCTTTCTGTTGTGGTTAGAGCCAGTTTGCGCTGCTCTGTTAAGGGAGTAGTACACAGCATTGTACGAGATCTTCAGTTTCCTGGCAATTGCTCTCATGGAATAGCCTTCATGTCTCAGAACAAGAACAGACTGATGGGCTTCAGAAGAAAGTTCTTTGTTTCTGACCATTTTGAGCTTGTAATTGAACTCACAATTGCTTATGCTCCAGATACTCAAGTAGTCCAAAGAAAGCCAGTTTCATTGCTTCTTTAATCAGCACAACATTTTCATCTGTGCTAACATAATTCATCAATTAACCTTTTAAAATGATAAACTTTTAGCAAACACAACATTCCACTGGAACACAGGACTAATTGCTGCTGATAATGGGCCTCTGTACACCTGTAGATATTCCATTAAAAAAACAGCCTTTTCCAGCTATGATAGTCATTTACAACATTAAGAATGTCTACGCAGCATTTCTGATCAATCTGATGTTATTTTAATGGACAAAAGACTTACTGTTTTTCAAAAGCAAAGGAATTCCTAAGTGACCCCTAACTTTTGCACGGTAGTGTATATGGGATGATCCTTGTCAAGCATTCCTTCAGTTTGCCTCTTCACAGAATGGTCAGAAACAGGAGGTACCCTAACAAGACACAGCTGTTGCACATTAGCATATTTTTTGCACAATTTAAAGACATACCAGACAGTATCGGGCTGATGCCGGGAAAGGTAGCAAAAACTGTAAGATACCCTTTTAAAATTGTGACGTGAGGATAGTGGCAGTGATTAGAGTTGTTTCTAACACATGGCAAAAGTGTGCAAATCCTCCAAGGCAATGCTTCCCAATCTGTTCCTTGGGGGACGTCTAGACATCCTATATTTTTGCTCCTACTGGGTGCTGGGGGAGAGGAAAAATTTGAACTGTCTGGCAAGGAACTGGGAGGAAGCAAAAATGTGGACCGCTCTGGGGTCCCAATGTACTGGGCCGGGAAACATTGTCCTAAGAGATGGATTGATAAGAGGGGAAGGAAATACACCTGAATTATTTTCTTTTTGTTTTTGTATTCAGGGTTCCTGGAATTTCATTTGGCCTGAGAACAACTCCTTAGTAAATAAAACCAAGTGTTGGCAATACTTCAAAATGGCGATACCTGTATATTTAGCCCAGATGTCGTTTATTTGATTTCAGAACCCATCCATTCAGTTTCTGTAACCACATATCCTATTTAGCGTTGCGGGGGGTCTGGAGCCTATCCCGGAGGCTATGGGCACAAGGCAGGGAACAACCCAGGATGGAGTGCCAACCCATCACAGGGCACACACTCACACACCATTCACTCACACACGCACACCTATGGGCAATTTGGTAACTGCAATCAACCTCAGCATGTGTTTGGACTGCGGGGGGAAACTGGAGTACCCAGAGGAAACCCCACCATGACACGGGGAGAACATGCAAACTACAAGCACTTAAAAAAAAAATAAAAATAAATAAAAACGATATCCATCCATTTTCTGAAACCACTTGTCCTATTTAGGGTCACAAGAGGTCCAGAGCAAATGAGCACAGGATAAGGAACAACCCAGGATGGGGCACCAACCCATCAAACACACACTAGTCACTCTCACATGCACACCTACGGGCAATTTGGGTGGAGCCATGGCAGAGACTGAGGCAACAGTGGTATCTACTGCACCACCGTGGCACCTACCTCGTAATGATGATTATGTTTCACAATGGCATATATACATTTATCAAAATGAATAATATAAAATTTGTACAGTAAAATCCAGTTATTCTGCATTACATTGCTGCCAGCCAGATATTATTTTTGTTATCTGCGTTCAGATGTACCTTTTGGAGGTAATAATTCAAAACCTGGGATGATGCATGCCTTATCTTAATTTTGATTTGTTTTCAAATATAAATGTTGTTTCAACTAATAAATCCGCAATTAGTAATCATTTTAAAATATGTCATTTTTTTGTAGATTTAACACAGTGGCAGTTTGGGCTGTCCTCTACTACAATGGCATAATTGTCATTGTTTAATTAATCCATAGGGAGTACTTGTGGCTGGCAGAAGTTACATGTATAATGTACATTTCAGAGGTTCTGGAATTCATAATTACTTTTAACCATGCTTGGGTTATGACTCAATAAAACATTTACTGTGTTTGGCTCAACTAGAATATTAAACCTCTATAGTATTAATAAATGCCCTTCAGTCTTTGTTGTTTCTAGCTTCAAAGGATGCCCAGTCTAGCACCGCCTCTGCTAATTCTCCATCAGGCATTATCATTCGCAGTTCAGACATTTCCCTTATGAATTGACTTCAATTAATTTTAAAACTCAGTGACATTTTCTATTAATTAAAGTTCACTTTGGCATAAAAGAGTCTATTCCAGCTCTCTAAGGAACGGAGGATGAGTTTTTTTTCCCCTGATTCGAGGAAATGCTTGTCCTGTCCTCTTATTTCTGAGAAACGGAACACTTGGCATTTCATCCAAAGCTTGAGGAGAGTATAACAGTGCCCCACTAAGGGAGCAGAAGCAGTGTGTACAGGCCATCTCCTGAGTCTTTCTGTCTGGCAACACGTTCATAGCTAGTGGCAAATATTCCAACGAGAAATGGCACAGTCAGATTCAAACTTAATTTTCAGTGATTACTAGCGAAAAACTTCCAGCTGCCAGAAAGATAATGTTTTCAAATAAGCCAAAGATCGTGTTTGAGGAACATCTGCATTTGTGTCTTCTTTTTTTCTAAAGTGAATTGCATAATTATGCAGCAAAGTATGAGTACAAAACAGTATAAACTGCTATTACAGCAGTTCTGAAAAAGAATGACTACAACTGGTACTATACGTTGCATTATGTGGTCAAAACTCAGTATTAGGATTCTTTCCTAATACTGAGTTAGGCTCCACTTTGTCCTGATTTTGGCATCAGTTTGTCGTGGTATGAACTTGACAAGGTGTTCAAAGTGCTTCACTGAGCTACTGGCTCATGCTGACTCCAATGCATCCAAAAGGTTATTTTGAAATTGCTGGTAGAACAACTCACCATCCCATGGATATTCAGTTAGACGCCTGGGTAGTTTACTGCATTAGGCTAACCTCATTGTC